GATGGGGAGGATGCCCGCGGCGTCCTTAGCTACGCGGCTTGGAAGACATACCCGGTGCGCGTGAACGGGCTGCCGGGAGACGCGAACGAGGGGGAGGTGATGGCGGTCTTTTCGAAATACATGCCCTACGACGTGGAGGTCCTGCCCGTGGAGGCGTCGGAGGCCGCGGACGGGAATGAGGGCGGGACTCGGGGGGCCTATCTGCGCTTTGCCCGGCGCATACAGGGGGTGGAGTGCGCGAGCGAGATGCAGGACGTGAGCGTGCGCAACAATGTCCTGCAAGTGCGAAGGGCCTGGGAGAAGGTCTACCCCCTGCTGATCGAGGCAGCTTCGGGGGAGGGGAAAGTTACCGCGGACGAGCTTGAGCAAGTGCTCGCCCCTTTGAAGAGGATGAAGGACTCGTCCCTCCTCGACGCCGAGCTCCTTAAAGAGGGGGCAGCGGCGGTGATCCGGTTCGGGAGTCAGACAGGCGCGGAGGAAGGGCTGGGCGTGTTGGAGGCCGGCGCGGGGAGCGGGAGGAGGAAAGTGCGGCCGGCGTGGAAGGACTTCCGGGTGGACGTAAGAAACCTGCCACTGGAGGTGACGCAGGAGGAGCTGCGCGAGATGGTTCACCTGACGACCCCCTCCAAAGTGGCGGTGTCCTTGCCCGTGGGCGGCCGGTACCGGACGGGAAGTCTCTCCTTTACCACGCGGGAAGAGGCAGACCTGGCCTTCTCGCAGCTCTCGGGGACGGGCTTGCCGGACCTGAAGCTCCGGAAGGCGTGGGCCGTGTACCGGCTGAGGGTGAAGGGGCTGCCCGCGGACACGAGGGAGGAGGACCTGCGCGAGGTGCTGAGAGGCGGCTACGAGCCCTTCCAGGTGGACTTCCCTCGGAGTCGGAAGGGGAACCCGAAAGGCGAGGCGGTGCTCAGGTTCAGGACCTACGACCAGCTGGTGGCGGCGATCGGTCGCCTGTACGGGCGGGACTCGCCCATGGATGAGGTCGAGAACCAGGCGCGATGGGCGTCGGCGGGGGAGGGGATGAGCTTCGACGACCCGGCCGGGAGCTTGGAGGAGGAGCTGGCGAGGTTGCCACCCTCAGCCTCTTCCCCGCTCTCGACCGAGACGGGAATGGGGCTGGACGCACTCTTTGACAGGCACTGGAAGGAAGAGAGGGGTCCCGGGGAGGAGGGG